GGCCATTGCCTACCGTGGACTCCGCAGAAGAAACAGCTGAAGACACGTCTGTGAATCACACTGCCTCGGTTAATGGCCCTGTTGGGTCACATGATAGGTACTTCCTACACAATAGTATTGTCTATATTTATCTATCATCTGTTTGCTTGTCATTTACATGGGGTTAATAAACACTTGATATGTAATGATTTGCATCAGTGTTTATAGGAACCAATCTTCGCCTGTCAACCAAGATGAAGCTGGACCATCTGATGCACAGTCATTCTCAGACATGATCAAATCTCGGCTGCAGTCAGTTTCTACAAAGTATGTACTCCTACATTGTAGTTCTGAGCATATGCAATCTGTGGAAATTTAATTTACCTCATGAGTATACTTGATATATACATTGTTCGAAGCAAATTTGCAATAACATTCAATGTTTATTTTGAACAACCAACCTGTAGATCAAAAGAGAAATGGATTAGCTTAGAACTTAGTAGTTCATATATTTAATGCCTCATGGTTTGTCTAAGGATGGTGAGTAAGGGCATAAGATATTTTGAATGGCATAGTCATTGGACCCAAATTTCCTTAAATACCTATTCAGAATCTATGTTAGTTGTTATCTCTAAAACCTAGGTAAACATCATACTGAAACTCCTCTCACAAAGCATGTGTCATGATCGTGGGGGAAGTGACCGGATAGGATAGGAATGGGAAGTCGCCGGCCGTTCGGCCGCTGGTTTCCTACCTGTGGTGGTTGGTGTGGGGAACAACAGGGAGATGAGAGAACAAAGAAATGAGATGAGAATAGGAATTGGGTTGTCATTGTCTGTTTATTCCTTGATCACCACTGCATATAAAGGAGATTACAACTTTATTCTCTCCTAATTAAACTCTTTCCTCTTCCTAATTCAAGCCTTCCTGATTTGATCCCTTTGATCCTTTCCCGTCTAATCAGCCCCTACGATAGAGCCTATAGTTATTACCAACCATAACATCTCTCCCATCCTCAGGAAAGAGCTCGTCCTCGATCAAGGGTTTAATTTGTGCCTATGATATTTTCTATAATATCATATTGCTTCCGGATTATAATTCTGTTAATTGTGATTTGTGTCGGCACACATCACTTTTTGTCTTTGTCCTTTCATAGAAAAAAAATTATTTTTTTATGATTTGTGGCAACACATCTCAGATATTTGTCTTTGTCCTCCTGTAGAAAAAAATATATTTTGTTAATTGTGATTTGTGCTAGAACACACCATAGTTATACGTTGTGTTTTGCGACATGATTTTTTGTGTGCCGTTGATTTTTTGAATCTCATGGTTTATCATATTCAGTTGTCAAAGGGATGAAACACTCGGATTTAGTCTTTGATCAGAGTATGATGTTTTTACACTATATTTCAGGTAGACACTAAATTTTACCTGGTAATGTAATTTTTTAAATGTTAATTTGTAGTTGTGTTTCTATGAACAGTTCACAAGCCACACTAAATATGCTTAACTCTTGTAAGCTGAAAGAGTTTGCCAGAACTCCAAACTGATGTCTATTCTAGAACTTGGGAAGAGTTAATTGCTAGGACCTGCTTGATGGCATATTATGAATTTTACAAAATTATGATTTGTGAATATGTTAATATGGAGCAAAATTGAGCTACATGGATCCTACTGATACCTTGTAATTTTGGTAGATTCAAATTTGGTAGTGTTTTATCCACTTTTGTGTATTCTTTAAGAGCTATAAGCTTGTGTTGGCCTTGCCCCTTTTGTTAGTGCCTACTTATTTTTTGATAAATGAGGTATGACTTTTGAATCTCACATTCATTCCATCTGTTTTTTGTTCTTTTCCATAGCACTTTAGTGGTACCAAAGAACTATTTCTGAGCATATGTAAACCAAGCAACTTAAAGAGTCAGTTACATAATTGCAGTATGCTATAATGTAAATTGCAAGTGTCTAGCACTGCAATTGTAGTTCTGAGAATATGCAATATGCTGTTGTTGAACCGTTTCTCTCGTTTTTTTTCTGTTTTTTCTGCTAGCTGATATCCTGTCTGCTATAATGTAAATTGCAAGTGTTGATCCTTTGCTTTCTTGTGATTTGTGCTAGCACACACCATATATTTGTCACTTGTGATTTGTGCTAGCACAAACCATATATTATTGTGATTTTTGTGAACATACATCTGTCTTCTATGCTGTCACTGCTGCCTTTCTGTAATTTAGTAAGCTGCAGGTTTAGTAAATTGTCTTTTGTCCCTCATTTTCTTGTCTGATCAATACCGTTTTTCTTCTCTTCTTCTGTTTTGGCAGTTTTTCAGTAAAACAGCTTGGTCTAGGGGTTGATTGAATTCTGCTTGTATTATTTTGTGAATCAAGATTTGATTCTTTATAATTTACCCATGTTGTTTCCATTTATTCGATCTAATTCCAAATGAGAATATGGGAATGCCGCTTTAGTTTGTGATGTTCAACAAGGAGGAAAGATTGCTTGTGTGGCTGTTGAGCAGTTTGTCATTCTCTCTGTTTACACATTCATGAGCTCCACCATACTGTATATGTATTGATATACATTTATAGTTTAATTGCATTAAGAACACATACTGTTTGCACTTTTTGAAATGTGCAATTTTCATATTTGTGTTTTGTAATTTCATCAATATAATGCATTACACTTAATTTGATTCTGCAAAAGCTAACATGATCTGAAATAGTTGGGTGCTCTAATTGCAAAAGATAGCCACATCTAAAATAGTTGGATTGCTCATACACGCTGCTCTTATCTCATGCTATCTGTTATGTCATGCAATGCAGGAAATTAGTAGGATCTGAAATAGGTTTGTTTGTAGCCTTTAGACTACAATTACAACTCCACAAGTGCTGGATCTGCTCCTTGTGCAAAGTTAGCAACCAGGGCCACACCCTGCTGTTGGAGCAAGCACAAGCAGCAGGCCATCTTAGCCATCCTAAATATGTAAGGTCTCATGATTACATATTCCATGGATCTAGGTTCTCCAGTTCTTTCTCATCTGATTTGTTAATTTCTTTGTTTTTGCTTCTTCTGATAAATTGAAATACTAGAAAGTTGGATTCAAAAGATTGATCTACTAACCTTGGCTGATGAGGTATGAATCAAACTTCTAGTGCTTGTTCTTCAAATTTCCTGTTGTTCTTGTTTGCAATCACATTTCTGTCCCTTTCCCCTGCTCCGTGTGAGCAAAGCAGAGCCTTTTCCACGCAAAGTAGATCTGTTTTCTTTGTTTTCTTCTTTCCCAAGTATATATGATGGATTTCTGCTTTTGGGCTTTCATTATGGGCTCCGTAGTTGTTGGGCTCTGCTATTTTACTCTCAACTGCACAGAAATTGCATCTAGATCTGCTCTGCATGGGTCTTTTTTGTTTGATGGAATTTGTGTGCTAGCTTCTCCTAAAACACACGGTTTTTTTCTCTGTTGTAATTTGTGTGTTTTTTAGGCTGCCAACAATCATGTGCTAGCTTCTTCTAAAACACATGGTTTTTTGTCTGTTGGAATTCGTGTGTTTTTAGGCAGCCAACAACCATGTGCTAGCTTTGGCTGAAACACATGGTTTTTCCTCTGTTATAAATCATGTGTTTTGCAGCTAGCAAACAACCATACGCTACATTTTGCTGAAACACATGGTTGTTGGGTAGACAAACTCAACATAATTTTGTCCTCTTTCCGGTGAGAGCAATAGCTTTTTTTGGCCAAAACTTACTGTTGTCAAAGGACAATTAGCTATGAGAGCACTGATTTAGAAATATAACTGATTATTGTAACAGTGGTATAACAAATTCTTTTTACAAAAAGCTACACAAAGTTGATAATCAGACATACAAATTCTGGTATGACTTCCATGCTTGGTGCTAAGCATGTCTGGAAGGCCGTTGCGCCCCAAAGGTGAAATTCATCTTCTGGATTGCACTTCACGGATGCCTATGGACTGCCGACTGACGACAACGGCATGGTCTACAAAGGAAGCAACCTGTGCGCTGTGTGACCAAGAAGTTTAGACAACAAGCCATATCTTGTTGTCATGCGTCTACAGTAGGGAAGTTTGGCACCGACTGCTCACCATCGTGGGTTTGCAGACATGGTCACCGCAACAGCAAGACTCCCTGCTTCAATGGTGGCAACAGCATAGAGCGCAAGCACCTAGAGCCCTTCGCACATGCTTCGATTCGACGGTAATGCTAACTGCTTGATCACTATGGCCCCGTTCGCTTCGCTAAGCCAAAACACTGTTTCGATTGATTCGTTGTGAGAGAAAAACACTGTTCCGGCTGAAAAAACAAGCTGAAAAAACGGATTATAAGAGAGGTGAACAGAGCGTATGAAAGGAACCGAAGCGGAGGGTGTTCGATGGGAAACTCCTACTTCCCCATCAGCTCTTCCAGGTGATCGTCGACGAAGCAAATGCTTGGATCGGTGCCGGGTTCGCGGCGCTGTTGACTCTCTTCTCGGCTAGTCCAGCTTAGTTGCCACCGGTCGCCTTTCAGTTGCTCAATTAGTGATGTAATACACAATCTCGTGCGCAGTTTGTTTGCTTTTTTCTTTTCAGTCGCTCCAGGCGCTTTCGGTATCTCACCGTGAGCTTTCTCATATTTGTATTGTTCTAACACTTCTCCTTAATCAAATATGGGCATATGCACGTTCTCGAAAAAAAAAAGACATACAAATTCTTTTTACATGTAACCGTGGCAAGTTTGAGTGGTGACCGGCTGACTGGACGGAGCGACCAGGCAAGCCGAGATGGAACTCGTGGTCATGGACGGCAAGCAAAGATGTTGCCTCGCCAAGTGGAGAGGCCTGGCCCAGGAGCAGCAGACTACGAGCGGAGCGTCTTTTTCAGCTCTTCAGGTCAACACCCACGACAGTCGATTGAGGGCGAAAAACAGAGGAGAGCGAAACAGCCAAACAAAGGTCCGCGACCGACAAAGGTACTCCGTAGTAACGAACGAGAACGAGGTCAGATCACATCACAAAAAGACTCCATTCAGCCGCGCGCACAGGTCGCTGAAACTGTAAACATCGCCATATCCAGCCGCGCCGCGGACCAGACAAAGCAGAGCGCGTATGCGGCAGCACCTTCCACTACTCCTATGGGCTCACATGACTAGACAAAAGGACGCCGGCTATAGTCATCGACACCGAGTCTGTGACACAGTGCTGCTGATGGTACACTGCTACTAGGGCCATGTTTAGTTCACTCCAAAATCTAAACTTTGGCACTATGTAAAAAAAAATTTTTCGTCACATCAAACTTACGGTACATGCATGGAGTACTAAATATTGACGAAATCAAAAACTAATTGCACAGTTTGGTTGTACTTTGCGAGATGAACGTTTTGAGCCTAATTAGTCAACGATTGGACAATTATTACCAAATACAAACGAAATGCTACATTGTGCTACAGTATAGCTAGCGTGTTTTCAGTGGCGCCGATTCGGGTGACCTAGAACATGGCCTAGTACGCAATTACGCACAAGTCCATCGAGCACATGGCGGATTGGTGGTGGACCTTGACATGTCGGAGTTTACGGCGCGACGGGCCGCCATCGCTGCCGCCTTCCGTGGAAGCGTCGTCGTCGTCGACCTCGGAGTCGTCGCCGTCGTGATCGCCGTCGCTGGAGGTGAGGCGCGCGAGCCAACAGTTGCCGTGGAGGTGTCCGCTGACGCAGACGTAGTACTCGAGGCGGCCCTCGTAGGCTCCCAGCCTGCGGCACGCGCTGCGCGGCGCCATCCCGGCCGCCACCATGCTCCAGACGCGCGCGCCGCAGTAGGGGCAGCGCACGCGCGTCTCCAGCGGGGCCTGCCGCCCCACCAGGCATGCACGCGTCCGGGAGCGCATGAACCCGCGGAACACGCCGCGGTAGGCGCCCATGTCGTCGTCGGCGCCCGGCACGGCGTGCTCGCAGGGGTCCGACACGTAGAGCAGGTCGCCCCGGCACCACCGCGACAGGAAGCTCCGCCCGAACGTCTTGGAGAAGCGTGACACCCCTGTGAAGTGGCCCCGCACCGCCGCCGCCGCCGTCTTGGAGCAGGTCGTCCTGGCTTGTTTTATAATTCGTACTTTTTCAACCAATAAATATTATTTTTCTTTTACGATAAATCAGTCGACAGTACTTTCAGCCATGTCTTATCAGTCAAGCAAACCAACTTACTCGTTGCCAACCCAAGCCAGAGAAGAGTGCCCGAAGAGCGTTCGGTACTAGGCGATGCAGAGGGCAGTGCCAGCCGCCAGGGGGATGGAGAAGATTTATACGGTCGCGATGCGAAGCCGGCGAGGCGGCGACCACTTCGCGTGCTCCCCGAAAGGCGTGGGTGTCGGGGCAGGGCGCGACCGCCCAGGGTGTCATGGCGCCATCGGCCGCTTGACAAATGGCCACTTCCCGGCCTCGAGTGCCAATAATTAGTCGTGGGGCCTAGGCACTGTTTGGTTTCTACGTGTCCTCCTAAAATTCCTGTCACATTGAGTGTTTAGACACATGCATAGAGTATTAAATATAGATTAATTATACAACTTGCGACTAATTTGCGAGACGAATCTTTTAAGCCTAATTAGTCCATGATTTAACAACGTGATGCTACAGTAAACATGTGCTAATGACAGATTAATTAGGCTTAAAAAATTGTATTGCAAATTAACCTTCATCTATGTAATTAGTTTTGTAATTAATCTATATTTAACACTCTTTATTAGTATCTAAACATTCGATGTGATATGAATTTTATGAACCAAACAGTGCGACCAACGCGAGAACCATCCCGTCAATGGTCTCCCCCCGTTCCTCCTCGATCGCCCAAAATATCTGCTCCGTGCTCGCGGTCGCGCCGCTAAAAAAACAAGCAACTAGTACAGCCAATTCACGTAAGGATGGATCTCAGCTGATGTGGTGCGATGCGAATGCGACGCGGCATCTCAATCACAGACATCACCTACTGTAGTACCCCAAGGGGGTACTGTTGGGTGCTACCTGACAGAAGATCTGGCGCGCCATTGCCATTTCTAAACGCGTCAGATGCTATTTTACGGCGTCACATCGCTCGACGGCTCTACGATATCAATCAGGCTCCCGTTGTTTATAGCAGGAGGTGTATCCAGATGATTTGTTTGAAGTCTTCATCCGGCCACCTTTCCAAATCGAGCCATACTGCCGCCCCTCAGCGAGCTCCAAGAGGGGAAGACGACGAGCAGCCGCAGCGGGACACGTGCCGGGAAACCAGGCCGTTCTTGCCTCCTCGGTGCACGCGTGTCCTGCCGGATTCCCGGAGCTCGACGCGTGTGCGCTTGTGGGACGCGTGCCGACCATCCAAGCAACGGCCTTTTTCGTTTGGCCGTGGCTTGTCGTAAACGATCGTCGAATTTTCAGCCAAAATATCTGCTTTTCTCTCTCACACAAACCAGTCGCGCTTTTTCATGAACCAAAACAAGCAACTAGTAACCAGCCAATTCCGTAAGGATGGATGTCTCAGATCCAGCGCCGTCGGTGGTGCGATGCGAATGCAACGCGGCATCTCAATCCCAGACATCACCTACTGTAGTACCCCCAAAGGTACTCTCGCCGCCCAATTTTTTTACAATTTGATCAATTTTTAAGAAATTTTACGTTTGACTAAACGCGTCGAAACTCATTTTACCCTAGCGTCACGCTCGCTCGACGGCTCTACGATATCTTGGCGCCACGGATCAGGCTCCCGTTGTTTATAGCAGGAGGTGCATCCAGATGATTTGTTTGAAGTCTTCATCCGGCCACCTTTCCAAATCGAGCCATACTGCCGCCCCTCAGCTTGCTCCAAGAGGGGCCAGACGACGAGCAGCCGCAGCATGGATTCAAAGCCGGGAAACCAGGCCGTTCTTGCCTCCTCTCTCCCTCACGCGTGTCCTGCCGGATTCCCGGAGCTCGACGCGTGTGCGCTTGTGGGACGCGTGCCGACCATCCAAGCAACGGCCTTTTTGAGTCCTCCAATGATGAACAAACGTCTTACGACCTTGCGACGAGGGCCGAGACACAGGTGGAGGGAGCCTGCACCGATCCTAGACCGAGTGATAATGTCAACTATAACCCCATCATTTAAATACCATTGCAACTGGCATACATAATGATGCACATACTAAGATTTATATGTTACATCCATCACTTTACATAAACAAGAAACATCAAATCCATATCACAAGTAAATTTATTTTGTAATTACACTAAGAAGAACCAACTCATCCACATGACAGAGATGACCCCCCGAACCCCTAATTAGCTGAGGTACACAACAGACAAAAGCTGAGGTACCCCTAATTATAGAATTTGAAATCTGAAACCTGTACAACTATTCATATTTCATTTTTTCCCCTTTTGAGAAATAAGAGAAATCGCTGCTGATAACAAAGGCTGCAGCTCCAGATCATCATAACAAGTGCAGAATCCTAACTCTAGTGAAATATCAGCCTTCTGAAACAAGATGAAGTCCATTTTCCACTGTCTGATAGTCCTATGCAAGTGTTCTGAACCATCTGAGTAGCCCAAGAAGACCAGCATCTAGAACTGGAGATTTTTGCTCTAGTCCTGGAAGAAGGGTAAAGCAGTAAAAAGAAACTGTGAGTTGCAAACCATCCTCATAGCACTGTTCATCAAGAGTTCTACTCTAAGACCTAGCATCAAACATGTGACTAATTCTGTCTTAGTGAAACATCAAGCTATCCCTGTTCAGGACAGACACAGTAAATTTTGAACTTACCAATATCTGCAGCAACTCGGTGAGCACACATGATCCCTGAGAATGCTACAGTTATGACACCTTGCCCAGGAAAACAGCTGTCCCCAACACAGTAAAGGCCATCTATTGACTGTAAATTGAGAACCCCAGTTTCAGTTCGACAAATCTTATAACATTGTGAGGACATCCAGTACATCAAGTCACCCAAAGGGAGATGATTTCTGATACTTACAGTAGTATTGAAAGGTATAGCCAGTAAGCCCTTCGGTTTACCCCGTGGCATTGGTCCATATGTACCATCATTTCGAGCAAGAAATCTTCGGTGAGTTTTTGGTGAGCCTACCTGATGAAACAAAACAAGTTTTGCATTAGAAGAGTTACTGGTAGCAGAAGTCAGAACAGTGCCAGTTAAGTTTCTGCATTATTATATGTTGCTAGGCATGTGATTCATAGAAGTCAATATTTTTTAACTCACAACTCAACTGACTTTGATAATCTTCCTTTCACCATCAACTCTTAACAGTTGCTAAGAAGGCAGTTTAAAGTTTATACAAGAATTAATAAAAATCAAACTGTGGAACATGTATCAATAGAATCACATAAAAAACAAGAAGCCTTCTTATAATCTCATTGGCCACCGCCTTTTTTTTCTCTTCATACTGCTTCCTAGAAAGACCCTGTCAATGCTGAATACAAACAGCGCTAAAATACATGGTATCTCAATATTAATGAAATTTGCATTTCAGCAAGAACACTGTCCTTACCTCCCAGTCTTCTATGCCTGGGATTTGATATCACCGTTTTAGCAAAGAACTCCTTCCCATTTGATAACCTCACCCCAACCTGGAGTACAGAAGTTATCAGCTAAGATACAAAAACCCAATAAGTCCAGGTATTTAAGTCAGTAAGATAACTCACAGCCTTTCCATTTTCAAGAATAACATTGGTTACATTCGCCTTGTAACGTATTTCACTGCCCTTTTCAACTTACTATGAAAGCATAAACTATGCTGTGTGATTTTTTCTAATACGTTGTAAAGATTGACAGAAGGGATAGTCCCCTACTGGTTAATATATACTTTATCACAAGGATAACATCCACGGCTCAGAACTTTTAGCAATAAATTATGAGTTGTTTTGGCATTTGACTTTCAGTTGAAAAGTGCCGCGGAATATCTCAAGTATTATACTTCACACAAAGCTAACTTGTACAGTTAAATTAAGTAGTTGCAAAGGTACCACGCCCTGTTCGCTTGAGCTTGTTTGGCTGATAAGCCATGACTGAAAGTACTGTTGGCTGATTTGGTGTGAGAGAAAAATATTGTTCGTTGGCTGAAAAAGTACGGCTTATAAGCTAAACTATTAGCTGCAGCAATCTTTCAAAAAAAAATTAGCTGTAGCAATATAGAACAGGCTTATAGCTAAGCTCTGAGATAATCGACACAGTCAAGCAGCATATATATAAAAAAAACAATCTGTGCTCAGTCATGTACTTTTCAGTTTTCATGACTAGTCAGTTTTTAGGTTAATGTGACAGAGCTTTCATTTTTAATTTCTGTTACCATGTGTTGTTTGCAATGCCACGAAAGATTCAGTATAAACACCAGACAGTACTCACTCACTAGTAAAGCCATGGAAAAAAAGAACGCATCATATATAAGGAGATTTATAATTTTGGAAGCTCAAAGGTAGCATTTAGAACATTCATTGAGACAACCAGATGTAAGGCTAGCTTACATATACTCGTCTGAACAGATTGCAGTATTAATTGAACCACATACATAGCCAATCGAAGAACCAAAGGTACCGCCCAATCCTACTACAGTTACCCAAGCTGCCAGGTACACCATAACAGGAAGATCTGATTTCGGCTGAATGTCCCAATAAGTAGCCCACAAGCAACAATTTCAGTGCTTGTTTTCAAGCGCTGGCAACTCTGAGAAGTAGGGCACATATGGAAAGATGGGCACATAGCCAGGATCAAGAGTGCAGAGACGACAAACTACCTTGCTGTCCATGTTATATGATATAAGGTCATCTTTATAGTGCTGAATAAGAAATACCAAATTGTGATATGGTTTTAAGCGCATTAATATTTGTTTTTTTTTTTGCAGGGCAACACGCTAAAGCAATCTGTGATTGAGATCGAACGGTTTCTAAGGATAGGCGTGG